TGAGTTCTTATTTTATTCTTCGGAAAATCATCTTCACTCTTCCATTACTGTTTTAGTAGGTACCTACTTATAATAATAATTCGTATATGAAAAGTAGCCAAGGCACACCTTAGGCTTCAATATATTATCCTAACTTGGCACCCATTTAGATCTCACTTCTTTTGTCGTTGAAGTCAACAACCAAGGTATATATTATTATAGTATTGAACTTGGCTCTCATTTTACATATATGTTTTTGGTGGGATAATATCTACATACTTCGGTAGAAAATAAAAAAATTAAAATTATCTGTGATAATATCTTAATAATTATAATTTGTGGTGTACCGTCAATTTATCGTAAACAATTTACCGCGCGACAATTGGCCGTAAACAAATATTGATCGTAAACCAATTGATCGCAATTGCAATTTACCGTACGATAATTGATCGCAAACTATATAGGTTATTTCAGGGTTATTTTAAGGCCAATATTATTGTTTCGTAACTTTATTCGATCATTAACCGATCAAGTCTTATCTAACATTATACACGTACCCTATTTTATCAGTCCGTATTTTTCCCTATCTATCTATAGAATATAGATCACTATGAAACACTACCAAATTTGAATTTAAAATGTCTGTAAAAAATAACTGTGTTCATATATTTTTTAGATTTTTTGGTTACAAATTAACTACTTATGTGGAATCTTATTTTAAATTTTCAATCCTTACCTATAAAAGTTGAACATTTTATAAATTATTAACTACAAAATAATTATTCAATTTTAAATTTGATAAATTTTGTTAAGATTCGATCTTTAAATGCTTATAGAAAAAAATTGTGGATATGTATTTTAAATATTTTTCAACTGATATTGTAACAATATATCAGGAGCCTTGCATTCAATTTTTACATTTTTTGGCCAACAGATAAAACTTGATTGACATTTATTGAAAAAAAAACTAAAAAAAGGTGGGTAAGTGGATGTCGCTCTGCTGTACAGTAGGTTACAAGTGAGTCACTGTATAATGGATGGTATTAAATTTAAATTGAACGACATATTATCATTGTATAAGAAAAACGATTCCAAGCGGAGACGGTATGTCAGTATAGGTATAAGACATATTATATACATATCTATGGTATTAAAAAAAAAATTGACCTATAATATAGGTACCTACAATAAATTCCAAATTAATCATATCACAATATCCATTAGGTACTTATAACGCGTTATACATAAACAAAAACCGTGATACTATCATAGATATATAATAATACGCTTTAGAAGTTTCAAGTACCCACGAATAATATTATTCAATCACAACAAAAAAACTAAAATAGTTATTCTAGGTTTTTTAATATGTAATTTCGTCCAAATTTGAATTTAAAATGTCTGTAAAAAATAACTGTGCTCATATATTTTTTTAGATTTTTTGGCTACAGTATAAACTATTTATGAGAATCTTTTTTTTTAATTTTCAATCCATAGCTATAAAAACTGAACATTTTATAATTTATTAATTACAATGATTGATAATTTTCGAGATTTTGATAAATTTTGTCAAAATTCGATGTTTAAATGCTTTAATAAAAAACAGTGCCTATGTATTTTTAATATTTTTCAACTGATATTGTAACAATAAATCAGGAGCCTTGTATTAAATTTTTACACTCTTTGGCCCAACAGATAAAACTTTATTGTTATTTATAGGAATAAAAACTAAAAAAATTGAAAAATGAAAATATCCGTAAACAGCTCAAAAATTTTCAAAAGTGTATGGTTTATGGGAAATGCTAATATAAACATTCAGTGAAATTTTCATGTATCTACAGTTATTCGTTTATGAATTAAAACAAAATAAGGAAATCGCTACATGAGAAATCGAGTGAATATCCAATGTTGTAAAAATTTGAATTTCTAACGCTAATAAAAATTTAATTTGACTTTCTTATAGACATTTTTTTTTTTTGATAGGTGTAGGAAGTCTTATAAGGAATCTTGTATTACATTTTCATATCTTAGATATAAAAAGAAAATTTATTATGAATTTCTAACTAGAAATAATTTGCAAATTTTCGTGATTTTTCCATATTTTGTCATTTTTTGAACTTTAAATACTTAAAAAAAAAACTGTGACTAACGATTTTTAATATTTTACATCTGTCTTTGAAACAATATAGTAGGAGCCTTGTATTAAATTTTCAAGTATTTTTACTCAACAAATAAATTTTTATTGATATTCATCAAAAAAAAAATATTAAAATTGGAAACTGAAAATGTACCTAAACAGTTCAAAATAAATCAAAATATTTTGAAAATGTTATCGTGTATAGAAAATGCAAATATAAACAACCACTGAAAATTTCATGTATGTACGGTCATTTGTTTTAAAGTTACACCAAAATCGATTTTCTCGAAAACAGATTTTGAGTAAAAATTCTCGTTTTTCCTTAATTTTTCTTTTGTTTTTCCCGGAGCTTTTGAAAACTACTGGGAAATTTAAATTTTGACCTCCCCAATGCACCAACGATAGTCACTTTCCAATCGAACAAAATACTGAAGTTGAAAATCGAAGCATTATTTCGACTACTTATCGTGTACACACACAAAAAAAATTTAAAAAAATTTAAAAAAAGGTGGGTAAGTGGATGTCGTTCTGCTGTACAGTAGGTTACAAGTGGGTCACTGTATAATGGATGCTATTAAATTTTAATTCAATGATATAATATCATTGTATAAGAAAAACGATTCTGAGCGATGACGGTATGTCAGTCTAGGTTTAAGACAAATTATATACATATCTATGGTATTAAAAAAAAAATTGACCTATAATAAATTCCAAATTAATCATATCACATTATCACAATGTCCATTAGGTACTTATAACACGTTATACATCAACATCAATAACAAACCCTGATACTATCATAGATATATAATAGTACACTTTAGAAGTTTCAAGTAGGTACCCACGAATAATATTATAGTTATATTAAATTTAAATATTGACCTCCCTAATGCACCAACGATATTCACTTTCCAATCGAACAAGATACTGAAGTCGAAAATCGAAGCCTTATCGTGTACACAGACACAAAAAAAATAATAAATAAACACACATCATTGTAAAATCAATACATTCATCGTTCCACTCAGAATCTAAAATGTTATAGTTAATCTTAATAAATTAATATATTATTATAATACAATTAGTACCTATGTATAATACGATTTTAGGTAGGTACATGCATGGTATTAGTGTATTTCCATTATAGGTAATTACTATAAATTACTTTATTTTTATACCGTATAGATTAATTTTGAACATCAACATGCAATTAATGTTGGGGAGGCGTACAGTTATTTTAGAGTTAACCAAAAAACAAAAGACCAATTCTTTAAATATTTTAATATGGGAATGACGCCTGCCGGAGTTCGGGAATTTCACGAATTGAATTTAGCCAGTGACAATGATTTAATGACAGATTTTTCATTCATAAAAACCCTAGCTAATTCAAAAAATAAATCCCATTACACGTCAAAGTTACACTTTACATGATGAATGGCGGTAAGTCACATAATATGTTATTATGTACATTGTACATTGTACCTATATAATATAAAGCAGACTAGTGTAGAATACTTTTTAAAAATATTTAAATTATAGTTACCTATATATTGTTATTTTCGGAAGATACATTTTGGTAATGGAACAGTTAAAAGTATGTATACAGTCTTAAAAAATAAAAAAATTGAGTATGAAGCAATAATTGGTATTCAAATGCTTATAGACGATGAATAACAACATGTTGCTTTTATTACTCCTATTATGAGGAGATTTCATGCAATGGACTTTTCAAAAGATATAATTTTTGTTGACTCAAGTGGGTCATGTGACCAAACAAATACACGAAGACTCCCGGGTTTTATTGCCTAAGGCTACAACCGCGTACCTTCTATTAGCGCTGAGCGCTAGCCAAGAGACGCGGAGGCATCAGACGCCGAGCCCGGTTTTACCCGAAGCCCGGCGACTGGCCGTCAGATGTGGACGGCACACCGGCGGTGGCCGCTACCCGCCTACCGTTAAAGCGACCGGTTCTGCGCGATCGCTGTCCCCGGACGCCCGCCGGTTACGGTGTTTGCCGGCTACACCAGCGAAAAGACCACAACCAGCTCGAATCCGACTCCAACGGATTGGAAATCCGATTGACCGGGCGGAAAGCATTCCTGGCTCGAATACTCCCCTGGGCTAACCCGGCCCCCCAGCTACCGTTCCTACGTGTCAACGGTTGGACATACTTCGGCGGCCGCCTCCGCCTACCGAATTAAAGGGGTAACCTACAGACAAGCCGTCAGCTGCAAGTCCGATCCATCTCCGCTATGCCCGCATTGACTTCACGAGCTTGACTGATACTGAGACGCTCGGCTGAAAGTCGGAGCAAGCTCCGGCACCCGTGTTACCTGCACACGCTGGAAACACCGCTGCTGGGGTCGGTTGCCCCAGCAACGACCGTGAACCGACCCGGTGGGCACACCGTCCGGGACTACGGGTCATTTGATCGGAGCTGTCTGAGGCGCGTCGTTAGTGATTAACGCGCTACCCGACCCGAGACGAATCCCGGGGGAACCGGGCGTTCCACTATCCGCAACCCGTGGACGCAATCTGTACCGACCGTCGTCGGGCAACGAAACCACAGCAGGGCGGCTGTGCTAACCAAACAAATACAGTTGTTACATTTTTTTTGGATCATCCAAAATTGGGGGCATACCTTTTTTTTTTTTTTTTTGCATGTGCTTTCCATGACCAACTGGGGGGTACTTTGCCTTTCGGTAATCCTACCCCCAGGAGGCCGAGAGCCGTTTATTAAACAACGTACCAAACAACATTGGACAGTGGTGGGCCAATCTCCCACTCACTGGTCCTCACAATATTATTATTTACACAGTAAAGGGGGGCTCTATCCCCTCAAGATTACCCTTGGGGCCACAACAAAATTACTAATTACAGAATACTAATTATCTGCTGGAACCTGCTGACGTTGAACCCGCTGACGTTGACGTTCCTCTTCCTCTCTTATTTTGAGAACGTTGACCACGTAGCTGCACACTGCGTCCCATTTTTCACGGCTTTCGAGCATCGTCTTCACCGCTGTTTCCGGAGTAAATTCTTTGTCCGTTTTCACTTCGAGTTCTCTGCGTTGTCTCCACCACCGGTCGCTTGACCTATGTCCTATCGCAGCTATCGCAGCATACCTATGGGCGTGGTTCTTCATACTGGTCAAAGCCAGAACAATTATACGTCAGCATTTGAACTTCTTAAAAAGCTTATTGGCAATAATGGATTTAATGGAAGGGGTGAACCAAACTTGATTATGACGGATGATAGCATTGCATAGAGAAAAGCATTGCAAGCATGTTTTCCAAAATTATAATTTTAATAATAGATTAATGACATTATTATACCACAACGCTCAGCCTGATTAAAAATATTCAACTTATATTGTTATTGGTAATACTTATATATTATGACTATAATATAACGTGACGAACACAGTAATAAAAACAGAAATATGTAATTATTGTTAATTTTTTTGAATAAATATTGATAGTAAAACAATGTACTATGTAAAAATGTAATATGATATATTTTGTTTTAAGTGTTTTTTTTATTTTTTTTTTTTATTTATTTAAACTTACAATGTGTCAACATATTACATGTTCTTACAAGGTTAGTGTTTATATTAAAATTACGAACCCTATGTGGGTTCAGCGAATCGAGCTGAATCAGATTAGGATCGGTAAAAACATATATACATCATGCAGAAAGGTCTTGGCTCCGCCCCCCGCCCTGAAATTTCGGGAAATACACTAACGGTTTAAGGCGCAGTAAAACTGCTTTGGTTTTCTTCAACAGTATCTTTTTGGATGGGAAAGTGAATCTAGTTGGTGCATTCGGGAGGTCAAATTTTTAAATTCCCAATAGTTTTCAATAGTGACGGGAAAAACAGCATAAAAATTAAAGGAAAAACGGGAATCTTTAGGCAAAATCGGTTTTCCACAAAATCGGTTTTGGTTTTTGGTGTAACTCTACAACAAATGAACGTATATACATGAAATGTTCACTGGTAGTTTATATTTGTTTTTTCTATACACGACAACATATTCAAAATATTTTGATTTGTTTTGAACTTTAAAGTTCATATATCTTGACAAAATACGGAAAAATCACGTAAATTGGAAAATTATTTTGAGTTGAGAATTCATAAAAATTTTTCTTTTTAAATCTAAGATTTGAAACTGTAATACAAGATTCCTCATAAGTTTGTCAACCTTTTCAAAAAAAAAATATGTCTACAAGCAAATCAAATTAAATTTTTATGAGCGTTTGAAATTCATATTTTTATAATTTTGGATATTTACTCGATTTCTCATGCGTAGCGGTTTTGTTAGTTTATTGTTATTCAAAAACGAATAACTGTAAATACATGAACATTTTACTGAATGTTTATACTTTCAATTTGTGTACACTATAACATTTTGAAAATATTTTGACTCTTTTTAGGCTGTTTCATAATTTCATATTTCAATTTTTTTATTTTTTTTTTTTTTTGAAACATTAATACAATTTTATTTGTTGTGTAAAAAAGCTTGACAATTTAATGCAAGGCTCCTGATATACTGTTACAATAGCAGTTGAAAAATATTAAAAATACAGACAACATTTTTTTTATAAGAATTCAAAGTTCAAATTTTGACAACATTTATCAAATTAAAATTGAATAATTATTTTGTACTAAAATTTATAAAATATTCAACTTTTATCGCTAAGGATTGAAAATTTAAAACAATAGGTTCCACGTAAATAGGTAAATATATAAATTACTTTATTCGCAATAATATTATCAAATATACTTATTAGTGATATCTAGGGCTCGGATTTATAATATGTAAATACATATTTTTACTGTGACTTTATAAATTAATTTAGGTAAGTGATAAATTCGTTTCAAGTGATTTCCATTGTAATGAACTATATTGTATTTTACATATTTTGTCATAAGTACATATTTTTACATATTTCTCAATAATTCCATTTTTCCCTACATATTTCGACAATTTACGATTTATTAATAGTTGTATAGTGTATACGATGTATACGATTTCCCATGTTTCAAAAAGTACGTAAACAAAATAATACCAATTATTGAACTAATCTGATATAATATTATATTCGACATTTTGTTACCTCGATAAATGATAGATAACGATTTATTAATACGTGTTTGCGTTTGAAGTACTGACAGCGAGTCAGTATACCCACATCGACGAACGGGACGTGTGTTTATTTAGACGCATAGGCGTAGTTAGGGGGGGCTTGAGGGGGCTTAGCCCCCCCAAAAAACTTAAGGCCACCTATATTTAAAAAATATTCAAATAAATAATTTTTTCGATATTTAAATATCGATAAAAATAATTCTTTATTTTTTTATGTCACTTTATCCATTACATTTCTTATAAGTTATAAGTTATAATATCATTCAATAATGTGTTGTTTTTGTCGGTCGATATTATGTCATTAAGGTTAAATTGTGCTTATTTTAGTAAAATACGTCCATACGTCATCTATTCATTATTTTATTGTGTTATTATTATTATTATTTACTAAAATCACAGAACAATAAAATGCAATAGCGATAACCTATTACAGTTGAAACATTTCCGAATCTATACAAACTTCTGAACTTGGCTTTAAGTATACCAATTTCTTCAGCATCTTGTGAACGGTCTTTTTCGACTATGAGAAGAATCAGTACTTATATACGCTCTACCATGAATCATGATCGTTTTTCCTCTTTAGCTATTATTAATATTGAAAGAGATGTATCGAATAATATAAATTCTGAAGATATTTTAGAGATATATTCTAAAGAAAATAGATCTTTAATGTTGTAACATTAAAAAAAAAAAATAGAATATTTTAATAAAACCTTTGATTGTCACACGTTATTTGTATTTTTTATGTAAATTTGCAGATGTACCGGTTGGGGGGGGGTTGTTAAATTCTTTCCCTGGAAGGGCTAAAGCCCCCCCCAAAAAAATTGATCACCCTACGCCTATGTTTAGACGTGTAATTTTGAGTTGGCCGTGTTAGTGTTAAATTATGCCGAAAGTTTGAGTGTCCAAAGTTGGAAAAGCTAAAAACCAAGTACTATAGAATTTCCAAACGAACATTTTCTTGTAATTTTTTTGTATTCCATTTTTTCATTTTTTAATCACATATAAAGTGATTTATTATTACATATATATTTACATATTTTGGTTTTTTTAATACATATAAATCCGAAACCTAGTGATATCATAGTCCGACTGACCGTGTTAGCTCAAAATAATTTTTCTTATTTAATGATATTACCTATATCATTGAATTAAAATTGAACACCATCCATTGCAGTGACAACTTGTAACCTATTGCACAGCAGACAGTGAACGGACGTTCATACGGCGAGATTTGCGAAAAAAAATCGAACGTCGAGACGAATGTGTTTATGCCTGTATATAGACATAGTGGTACCTACTCGACGCCAGTGGCGTGGTGAACGACGTTTACCTAATGCAATTGCTTAGCCCTAGAAATTTTTCAGGGGGGTGGGTACCCCTTGGCTCAGGTAAAGATAATAAAGAATATATTAAGAACAACCATCGGTCAAAATAGATTGTAATCACTAATGCTTTTATCTTAGGAAAAAGATATTTCACCTAATTTAGAAAAAACATTAGATAGAATGGGTAAATCTTCTCAACTGCTAGAAAAAGCTCTTTTATTTAAATAAATAAATAATTGTATATTTATGTGATAGTGTGATACTGTAAATAAAAAATATTAGTATATTACTATATACCTATATTATTTTTTATGTATTGTATTTTAATTATAATTAATGCATTATGTAATCTATTTTCTGATAATACACTTACACATAAGCAAGGCTTATGTTTACTTCATAAAAGACTGCTTCAAAAGTCATCAGAGTTAATTGATATTTTTAATTATACTATTACTATTTTATGTATAATTAATTATTATTATTTATAATAAATGTTTGATGACTTCCTATAACAAAAATTCAAAATTAGCATATAGAAAATTATACTTAGTTTGTGGGGGGTCATTACAAAATTAATTTGCTTAGGGTTTGAAAGATGCTCTTCACGCCACTGCTCGACGGCGGCGTCGCGGGCCGTCGGCTTTCCTCGACTCCGCTCCTCCCCGGGACTCGTCTACGAAAAAGTAGGGCCGCGCGCCGACTATAAATCCACCAAGGAACGCGAATAAGGTCCAAACGGGGCCGCCCGAGGGGGGTAAAACTGGAAAATCTTGGAAAAAAATCGTGAAAAATGGTCAAAACCGTGAAAGGTGATAAGGAGGAGTGATAACGGGAATAACGGGCGAAATCCTAACGGGGTCGTACGAAGTGCGTAAAGGCGGTAAATCTCGAATTGTGCGTCGTTCATAACCGCACACTTTCAAAAACAGGTCGTCGTTCAAAACCGCACACTTTCTTATCTTAATAACTATATGTCCGCCAAATTAAACCGTTCAATACCGCACACATTGATATATATCAATAACGTATACATTTATCTAAAATAACATAATCGTTTAGTACCGCACACCAGTTAATCATATTTAATCAAGATCACAAAATAATAAAAATAAAACTTTCGGGATTATACGCAGATTGCTATATCTACACGTTTAAGAAATAAAATAATATATACGATTATAGTTTTTATTTTCCAAATATTAGTACCTAATAAGTTACCAACATTTAGTGTGATCGCGACTATATTCGACTTCACGTACATATTTTATAGTAATTCAAATATAGTAATCAAAAAACAAAAGATATTTATAAACAAATGTGGGAAACAATAAAAGATTTATGTTTAAATAATGCAAATAGTGTATTCCAGCCTTCACTCTTACTATTAGATTTTGAACTTGGTGCTCACATTGCTGCTAAAGAAGTATTTCCTTTAATTATTATTAAAGCCTGTCGTTTCCATCTTGGTCAAGCATGGTACAGAAAAATCATTTCCATTCCAATATTAAAAAAAAACTACGACGATAAAAATTCACAATCTGGACTATGGTTAAAACTTTTTTTTGGTTTGCCTTATTTACCCTCACATATGATTTCTGAGGCGTTTATTGAGATAATGGCTACTTGTCCAGAAGAAAAACAATATTATGATTTTGCTGATTACATAT